GGTACCAGTGGTTCCGCAGGCCGAGTCGGGAGGTAAAGGTGAACGTGATAGGGCGAAGGAGTGCTTGCGTCCGCTGAGATAGATGACGTGAATGTCGTACTCCTGGATTTGCAGTGCCCACCGAGCGACGCAGCCAGAAGCATCTTTCAATGTGGCGAGCCAACAAAGTGCATGGTGGTCCGTTACCAGGTCGAATGGGCGATCGTACAAATAAGGGCGGAACTTGCGAAGCGCCCACACTAGCACTAAGCACTCCTTTCCAGTGACGCTGTAATTAGGGAGCTTTAGAATAGCGCACCGTGAGCCCTTTTGGTGTGGTCGGTGCCACTGCGCATGCATCGTAACGCAAGTCGGCGTTTGCGTTCGCGGCCCGCGAAAAAAATCCAAAACAGCATGCAGCGATCGCGGCCCGCATGTGGCGCACAAACGCCAGTTTCGATGCTATGGTGTCACTGTATCGTGCGTTGCGGTTTGCAGCAGGGCAAACGCTATTCTAAAACTCATATGGCACCCACTACGGCCGAAACGCTCACAGCGCTTGCAAACGGTATTTTAAAACTCCCTATTGGCTTCAGCTTTAGTGAGTGTGCGACTCACATAAGCGAAGACGTATTTGGAGTAGCTCGGCTTGCGTTGGGCAAGGACAGTGCCAACACCAACCCTGCTAGCGTCTGTGTGAACTTCTTGTTGCAGCTGTTGGGTCGAAATGTTGAAGAATGGGAGGAGGTGTTATCAGACTACGGAGCGTAGCAAACGCTTCGTAGTCTGCTAACCTTTCCTCCCATTTTTCAACATTTCGTAGTCAGGAGACCAGGATGAAGGGTCTGCATTACCGCGTGGGAAGTTGGTGAGTGGTGATACGATCGACGCGAAATTTCGAACGAAGCACCGGAAGTACGAGCATAGTCCGACAAAACTGCATAATTCTTTCAGTGTAGTAGGTTTCGGGAACTCAGCGACTGCTCGAAGTTTTGCAGAGTCGGGTAGAACACCATGCTTGGGCACGATGTGCCCTAAGATGGACAGCTCTCATGCGGTGAAGCGGCACTTTTTAAGGTTCAGTAGGAGAGCCCAGTGTTGGTTAAACACGTCAGAACTAGTTGGAGTCGAAGCAGATGTGTAAGAAAATAGAAAATTGGGAGAGAAAACGACAATGTCGTCGAGGTAGCGTAGACATACAGACCACTTCAGTCCACGCACTGTGTTGTCCATGAGTCGTTCAAACGTGGCAGGAGCATTACAAAGCCCAAAAGGCATTACGTTAAATTCATACAGGCCATCTGGTGTAATGAACTCAGTTTTCTGGCGATCAGTTTCTGCCATAGGAACCTGCCAGTATCCAGATCAAGTCTAAGGAGGAGAAGAATTCGGCTCCTTGGAGGCTGTCAAGGGTGTCGTCGAATGCGCGGTAATGGATAGACGCCTTTCCGCATCACCTTGTTTAATCGCCGGAAGTCGACGCAAAATCAAATCGATCCATCCCTCTTTCGAATTAGAACGACAGGAGACGCCCAAGGACTGCGTGATAGTTGAATAACGCGACAGCATAGCATCTCTTCGATTTGTTCATTGATGACATGACGTTCTGCAGCAGAGACACGGTACGGTCTTTGACGCAATGGCTGGTGCGAACCGGTGTCAATTTAGTGGTGCACTGCGGAAGTGCGACCCAATTGCGGCTGAGAGACGTCGAATGAATTCGCGAAGTGCTGGAGAAGATTAAGAAGCTCGCCACGTTCTTGAGATCTTAAGGTTTAGGCGATGGAATTCGAGAAGATGTCACTCGACGGGCATTCCAGTGGGAAAAGGGCATGAAGTTCGGTCGAGGCGCTACTACTGCACACTTCGTCTGGCATGTTAAGGAAAAGAGAAGAATCAAGGTACTCCACTCAACCGAGACATTCGCCAGCAAGTAGCATAAGCAGTGCAGAAAGGGGGCTGTGGACGAAAATATCGCTTTGGCCAGCAGTGACGTCAAGTGTAGCGAAAGGCAAGAAAATGGCTCTGCGGCTCATGAAAATGTCGGAAGGTGTAAACATGACCATAGCATCGTTATGGTCATCGCAGCAAACAGGGACAATGGCAAGAGATGCTGGCGGAATTTCAGTGTCCTCATGCATAAGGAGTTTTGGCGACCGCTCAAGAGTTCCGTGGAAAGGTTCGTCACACGGGTGCGCAGTCGATGACGGCATGATGATGTGACAGAAAGTCCCACCTGAGAATAACGTCACGTGAGCACGCCGAAAGGACAATAAACTCGACAACGTACATCGAGCCTTGGATGAATATGCGGGCTGTACAGGTGCCGAGAGGTTGAACTGGTTGTGCGCTAGCCGTACGAAGCGGTAGTCCAGAGAGTGGCATGGTCACTTTGCGTGGGGAGCGGCAGAGCTGGATGGCTATAACAGAAATGGCAGCACCTGTGTCGACAAGGACAAAGGTAGAAACATCATCGACAGATATGGTGACGATGTTAGCAGGTGAAGTGCGAGGACTTGAGCATTTCGATGATGGCGCAGTTCTTGCCTCTGGAACTGCGGCGTTCAGTTTTCCCGGTTGGAGAAAGCAGGTGGGGGACACATTGGGGACAGTGATTGCCTGCAAGGAGACGGGGAGTGGGGAGAGCGAGTCCGAGATGGGGGCTGGGGTGACTGAGACTCGGGAAGGTTAGCGTCATGGAGTGGTTGGAAGAGATGGCGAAAATATCGTGCCACGTGTCCTGGAGTACCGCAGGCGTAGCAGATTGGTCGATTGTCAGGAGTGCGCCAAGAATTGCCGACTCGCCGTGCGACCCAAGGTGTCGAAAGAGGGGCAGAGTGGGGAGCAAGTGAAGACATGGGTGACAAATGCTGCTGGCAGGGTCTGCTGCATACCACCTGGGCATACGTAAGTGGCGTGGCTACGGGCTGCATAGCCGGCGCTTGAAAAACAAGCATGGCCACAGGCTGCTGGTGGGCAGCGACGGGAACAGCCTGAGCTACGTCTTCAGCAATAACCTCGCGGAGCAGTGAGGGCAGACGAGAGGACGGCGGCTGCTGCATGAAGGGAGTCAACGACAGTTGCTGAGCTACTTCTTCATGCACAAAGTCTTTAATTTCTTTCAGGGTCGGTGAGTGATAGAGAACAGAAGTAAGACTGGAGAGAGAGTCAACGTGTACGGGAAATGGCCGAGTCAGGGCGCGCTGCCTCATCAACTCGTTAAAACTTTGACATAAAGTGACAAGTTCCACAACCGTGGCAGGATTACGGGCCAGGAGCATCTGAAATGTGCCTTCATTTATCCCTTTGAGAATGTGCTGAATCTTTTCCGACTTGGGCATGGCGGTGTTCACACAGTTGCAAAGATCAATAATGTCTTCAATGTAACCGGTGAATGATTCCGATGACTTCTGTGCGCGAGTGCGCAAGCGTTCTTCGGCCCCCGTTTTTTTCTTCACACTGTATTTATTTGAGGACTATTCTCAATTCATTTTGTTATAATCAATACTTTGTTTTATCTGGGTTTATTATATTGAGGTTTGAGTGTGATTCTCATTCAATATAGTACTTTTATTCTCATAAATAGATTATGTATACTTTTCAGAGAAAAACATGAATGTTTATTTTTATTGTAGAAAAAATTTATTATTAGTTAATGCAAAATCTGGAATACAATTGCATAGCAATGCATAATATACCCTGGTTGTTGAATATGCCACAATTTGATTTCAGTCTCACGGCTACGTAAACTTTCAGCAAAAGTTTTATGCACAGAAGAATCAACCAAGTCTCAATTTAAAATAAGTTTATATCACTGTTTTGAGTTGGACGAACAAACGCCATGAATCTCACGAACGTAATCCATCCAAAGCAGATTTGAAGCTTGCGCTTCCCATTGTTCCCATGATGGTCAAGATGCTGCTCAAGGAACCTGCATAGCCACTGCTGCCAAATTCTCCTCTAGGTTTTATAGTATGAAACTCTATGGTGCACAGTGACTAAGCTCAAATAGTGTCAGGGTGAGGTGAGGGCCATTAATCCTTCCATGGGTCAAAATTTCTGAAGATAACTGTACAGATAATTTTGAACCATCATAATTTGATTATAGCCGAGTGAAACTGTTATATTTATTTCCCTAGTAGTAAGAAAAAATTGAATAGTAGAATTCTCATGCGAATGGAATTGAATACCAACGGCTATTCAAGAAATATACGGTAGTTCAAACATTCACATACCCCTAAGCACAATATAAGGATGTTAGACATGCAAATGCAGACACCAGAAAATAGTCACGACAACAACACAGACTACAATTAACAATTAAAAAACAGTGAAACATATAGTAGGCATAAATCTGCACCATGTCCAGGCATTAGACAACAGCTGCATGCGTAAGGGTCTACGTGAGAGGTAACTTATCTGGCATTTGATTTTTTTCGTTATGCAAGTTAATCTATGGATTGCTCACAAATGTGCGACTACTGCTAAGAATATGCGAAGCCTTAATCATTAGCTGCATTTTTTTCATTCATGTGCTCATGTAAAACTGTACATTATTTGAATTTTGGTGAGAATTTACACTCTTGACAACATAAAGATAGATTGCATGATGAGCCTCCAGTTAGAGACATCAAGCTCTGGCTAACCCAATGGCCCATCTGCCCCATGAAAATGTATGAAGGAACTTTATGAAGCATGCGTATATGGCAATTAATTGGTATGTTTTACGAAACAAGTGTCAGCCTGTTTTTTGATTATTATTCACTTATTCCTTCTCTGCATGGTGGAGAAAATCTGTGATTACATACAGCAGATGTAAGCAGAAAACCATGTAATCTGGGTTATAAAATTGTATAAAGATGAATTGGATATATGTATCAGAAAAATTTTGAAGAAGCTGAGAACTCATTTATCAGAATATCTTTGCATGGAGAATTGTATGTGAGAGAACTTGAGGGCAACTAACTTGAACACCATGCGAAGAGCCTTAGACAATTAAAAAAATAAATGCACTAAATTAGAGGTTGGCAGCCTGCAGGGCAGTATTATATGGCCCACAGCACGATCTTGAACCCCTTCCCTTGTTCCTCACCATCTAAAAGCTGACATGGCAGTCTTGTTACTTATGTCTGATTACAACTTTGGACATGCCTTGCTGAAAATAAATGAGATTTCTAATTCAGTTTTGTATTTGTCAGTTTGCTGCACTTTTTCCGTTTGCCTGTAAAGCTTTCCTTCCCCCCCCTCCCGATTTGTCATCCAGACACCCACTGTGTCGGCTTCATGAAAATTGGCCCTTGCCTCAAAAGATTGCCAACCCTTGCACTAAATGATGTGCATAAGCCACTTTCAGAGCACCACTGTATGACTAGCACATGAATCATCCAAGCAGAGAAGCTGAGTACCCAAGGTTGTGTTATCTCAAACAGATTGAAGAGAAGTTCATCAATTTCTCCCTCAAGCTCCTTCCGAAGTGCGTCAAGGTAACCACTGCGCACTACTGGAAAAGAAGACAGCTCGCTTCCAACTTGAAGTGGTAACCAGGGCCCAACGGTAGTCAGTTCTCCATTACTATTGAGCTTCCATGGCCATTGAGCAGCATCTAGTTCATCCTGTACCAATGGGTGTAATAAGTAATGGCATTATATGTAACAGCCAGAATCCATACATACCAAGACATGGATAAGAAAACACACTAAGACACAGTGCCTGTACTTTATTTCCTTGTCCATGTCTAAAGTAGCATTGCTTATTCAGAAGGCAAAATAACACTTTTCATGTGGCCAATAATAAAGTTTTGTATGCACTTCTTAATATGAGGTGCTTAAATTAATTTTTTTGTAGAAATAAACCTTGAATTACTAGTGAACAATGCATTAATATTTAATTTTATAATTTTGAGGACTCATTAGAAAAAGCACAAAGCAAATTGCTGCCATATTATTTTTTTGTACAAAGAAATGTCCACCACTTAAGAATAATGCTGTGCAAATTTTGAGCATATATCCAACAGTCTATTATGATCTTGATAAAATAAACATGAGCCAGCATTAGAAGACACACCCAATATAAGATGAAAACAGTTGAACGAGCACCCACTCGATGATAAAATGAACAGTAAGTAGCCGTTCCCTTCATGTTCAACCAAGTAGTAATTTCTTACCTGTGATCTTATGCGAATAGAAGGGAACATTGCTGTTAGTGAAGAGTTCTCGAACGTGTTCCTGAAGTAAAAGTGAAAATGAGAAAATAAGTTTCCTTTAAAGTTTCTCTTATCCTACTGAATGAAGCAAGAGCTTACGAGTTTACCAACCCGGTAAGATTGAAGCTGCTGTCAGAAGAGGTTCCATGACTACCACTGCTAAAATTCATTGGTCTTTCCTTGGGCCGTGCTCCTGTCCCATTGAAAGAATTTGCTACTTTACGACTTATGTCTAAAAAAATTGGGGAAACTTCAGCATCAGGGCACGCTCTGGGAAGATTTTCAATCCATGTTGGATGCCAAGTGTCTCCTGGGGTGTTACCAAAGTTCTCTTCGGGTTCAGACATAGTAACTGTCGTCTCCATTTGAGTCCTTTTTCTTCTTGTGCCGATAGGAGGCAAGGGAGCAGAGCATTTTGCTGTAGGTTCTTCAGCTGTTATCATATCTTCATCAGAGTCTAGGAAGTCAAACTGTTGAGTAGGGTCAAAACCCCTCCCCCAGTACTCATCACCATCATCGGCTGGAATCATGAAGTCACCCATTGTTAGATAGTCATTGCCACTGCCCAAGAAAGGCCTGTCATCTATTTCACCAAATTCCAAGCTCATTGGGTGCTCCACATGTGGGCCCTCGCCAGGCCAAGCGTTAGAGATATCGTCTATAGGGTGCTCAGGCATACAGTCACCCTGACCAGCATTAAAAAGTGTTGATTTGTCCATGCCAGGCTTTTTTTTACTGGCAAAGGCTTCGGTGTTGGTGCCTATAGCCTGCAAAATTGGCTCATTAGATTCCTCTCTTGCCCAATTCCAAAACAGCATGTCATCCCTGAAGAAGGCAAGGGAAGAGTTGTATTTATCCATTAGCTTGGCAACAATCCTGGCCATTGCTAAACCCAGAGAACTAGACACATCGTTGTCAGAGGCTGTATCTTCATTCTGATTTTCCATTTTAAAAGTTTGCTCATCGTCAGGTATCTGAAACAGTAAGAAACCTAGTATTATGCACACATATGTTTCCCATACTAGTGCTCAGTATGCTATGTGCTTTCATGTAGAGCTTATATTCAGAAAAAGCAAGAGCAAGTGCAGCATGTCATGCATTTACCCCACTATATGCCGTGCAACTTATTGAAACAAGGAATAAAGCAGCCAGCAACAATGTGAAGGATACACACGTAGCATGGTCATACAAGTGTCACTTGGTGTGTCCTGTAATGCAGTTACTTTTATTCTGCAAAACTTTCTAAAGAATTTTCAACTTAAAGTACTACACCTGGCAGATGCAACTTTATATCATACAACATATTATTTGTGCACATGCGCGCTTTGAACATGTGTACAATGTTCCGGTTACGAGCACTAAGACTGCTACTTGAAAAAGCATGACACTCGACTTATTTAGTACGATCTCATGTCTACAATGCATTCAGGCATTAAGCTATATTTTGAGACTTAAAAAAAGATGGTTAATTTAACCTACATAAATGACAAATACCTGTATATTTAAAATCTGACTCTCTATTTTTGGTCACAAATATAAACTGCTAGAGAAGTGTCCCTAGCCACTGCTACGTGTGATTGTAAAAACAGCCTACAAATAAGTTTAAAGTAGGCATCCCATGTTAATGTCAAAGAAACACCAACGACCAATGATGCCAACGATCTTATGAGTGGTGCTTAATAAGAAGGCATGCAAGCATATGGAGGATAAGAAACCATGCAGCCAAAAGTAGTGCCCTTGCAGATGCAAGCAGTTCACTTGTTTTCCCAGAAGCAGCCCTGCTATAAATTTTGTCTTAGTAAATGAAAAATGATTTCAAATAAAAAAAAACTTCGATGAAAGAAAGCTGAAACCTATTCATCAAAGGTGTATCTCGACTGTTGACTATTTTTTCACTGGTGCACATATTCTATGTGCTTGCTGCTGAAGTATTGAGAAAACGGGTGCATCACTCTTTTATGTTTTGCTAAGAATAAAAAAAAAGTGAAGCTGCAGCAGACAACAGAAAATTGTTAGCTCATGCATCAACAGACAACCAAGTTTGCCATACAAGCACATACATATATGTAAATATATATATATAGCATGCAACGCCACCTCTAAACTACAGTGTCCAACCGTTGCCAGTGAAGAGGCCTCCTCTTTTTGAGAGTACAGATGGCTTCATCACTGAAGTCTTGGACTCTTCAGCACCCTTAAAGGACCTTAATTACTGCACGCAAACACTAGCAAATGCTCCAACTAAGAACATTTGCATGAATGCAATGCAAGTACTACACCATGAGGGGGTTGTTCTCACAAGACAGAAAACATTAAAATTTTCATCATGATTAATATGCAAACCATACAATGTGGCAGTACAATAATGTGACCAACACATGTGGCTGTGGGCCTAATTGAGCCTAATTTAGCTAGAGAAACCGTAACCGATGCACCAAACAGCACACCTACCATTCACTTCGACAACGCCCTCAGTGACGACATAGTTTCCCTCACCGTTATCAACCGTCAATTTAAACATTTTGCTTCAAGGCCACTTATTGACGCTTGCTCATTCTTCTCCCCCAATGCGAGGGAAGCATTGCCATCATTGAGGGTATTGTCGAAGTGAATGGTAGATGCCTTGTTTGGTGCCTCGGTTTTGGTTTCTCCAGCTAAATTAGGCTCATTACATCGCTTCGATGAGATTACTAGCGGCTGCTTTTCCAAAATTTCAAAGTGGCTATGGACTATATGTAGGAAGGGCTTGAATTCGCCCGTTTGACTTGACTGGCTATCACCACTGGTTTAAAAGTTAGTGTTAATTTCTATAATTACTGCCGTAATTAATGCTTGTACACATCTGAAGATGCCTTCTGCCACTGGAACGGCAACGTCGCAAGTAGCACGCAGATACTGCCTTTGTGCGATTTTTAAAGAATTTTAAAGAATTTTTAAAGAAAGCCATACAAATGCTGCGTATTTCGTCATCCTGTGACTTAAACCTCAAAGCAACAATGCTGCCAGAAGACTCCCTGCTTGCCACTGCTCCATGATACGAATTTTACAAGCCTGGAAGGAAAAAGAACGGGCATTAACAGTTCCCTGTGAAGTAGCTGCCCGACAAGATGTCCAACAGTCCTTTGACGACGAATAAGAGCCTAAAGCAAGCTCTTGAAAACAATATCCGAGGCCAGCGCCAAGGAAGGCTCGGCCCCATATAACAGAGCCCGGAGGATGCCCGGGCCCCCCTGTCCACCCTTTGATAAGTGGCAGTGTGTGAAGGGCAAAGTGAACAGTGAAGTGTCGGAAATGCGTTTTAACTGCGCGTCTTTGAGGTCATCGAAGAAGACGTGCGGAATTGAGGCATGCGGTGGTGCGAGACATGGTGGGAGGAGACCAAGGAAGAAGGGGAAGATAGGCAGACGTGGATGGCGATTGAAGAACCAGGGAGCGGGAGCAGAGACTTGTTGGGTTCCGGACCCGAGGTAACAGCAGGCTCCTACCTGGGGCCAAACCAGCCTGCCGACCACTTCGGGCCTGGTGTCGTTAAAACGGCGCCAGGATGTTCGCGCTAGAGGAGCCTGGTGTCTACCGCAGCGAGCCTTTGCCAGCATTCGAGAGCAGTGTGGCAGGAGCCATGCGCGTTCAAGGTCAACGACCCCAGCAGTGAGTTGCATAGCTGACCGCGGCTGTCAACTCAACTACTACATTACCCAAGCATCGAGTGTCCTCACTCAGCGTCGTTGAGCCGTTCAGCCCTTTCTTGGGACTTGACCGCTGCGTTACCCCATGGTGAGCTCACTCTTTGATAGAAGAACCAAGGTGCGGGAGCAGAGACCTGTCGGCTTCCGGCCTTGGGGTAGCAGCAGGCTCCCACCTGGGGCCAAACCAGCTGTCCATGCACCTGGGGCAGTACCAGCCAGCAGACCACTTCGGGCCTGGCATGGTTGAAACGTCGCCAGGACATTCCCGCCAGACGAACCCGGTGTCTACCGCATTCGTTAGTGTGGCAGGAGCCATGTGCGTTTAAGGTCCATGACCCCGATGGTGAGCTACGTTACTGACCTCAACTGCTGCGTTACAAGCATAGTGTCCTCACTCAGCATATTTTAGCCGTTCAGACCTTTCCGGGGACTTGACTGCCCCGTTGCCCCCGGTGAACTCACTCTTTGTTTATTCGGCTTTTGACTTTATCTTTAGCATTAAAAGCCCATATTCCATTTTCCTAACTACCATTATAATTCCATCATCCTTTGTAGAGACATTATTTTTTTTCATGCATAAACCACCTCGTCACTGTCCCGATGACGATCAAGTAACCGTGATTCTTTTCCCACAAACACGAGCATTTCATTTAGAGCTCTGTCTCGCCATATACAGCTCGTTACACACCGTACTCTCTGCCTATGCTTCACACATATTTCAATGCACTAGCATTCATATGCCAACTCAATATATATTGATCAGAGGCATGAATTAGGGAGGGGGCACCTCAATTTCCTCGTAAAAACTTTCACGGGAAGTCCTTGATAAACAGATCCCGTTTGCATCGTCTCCGTAATAACAATGTCTTTACTGGATTGCAAAATATGTTTCTTGGGCGAATCTGGGTGAGCTGCACTTTTTTTTCGCCGACTTACGGAGTCGGCAAATGTGAACGGTACAGTGCTTTTCTTTCTATGCAGATTGGAAGATACTCCAGACACATGGTGTGCTGTAATGTGACATCATGTCCAGCTTATGATTAATGCTGTAAGCATTTTAAAACCTCTTCCTGGACGAGCTGGTTGATACTTTACAGGAAAAAGTGGTATGTGCAAATTACACAAGACACAGTGAAAAGAATATCACACTTTTGTTAGTGTTTTTATTGCTGTGTTGTGTATAGTTTGCACATACCATTTTTAACTTTGAAATGTGTTCTATGCCATAATAAAAAAAAGCAACTTTACTGGTATGTTTTTTGGTCATGATAAAGTCCCACTGAGGCCCGAAAGTCGCATGCAAAAATTAATAAGTACATGCGCCAGATTTCCTTTACTTCCATGCTTTTTTTCTGCTGTCCTCAACATTTAACTGTGGTATGATGAGTCACATTCATTTTATTGAGCTTGGTGGCCTCTGTGGGGATATACACTGACTTTTAAGTGTCGCTGATAGTGTGTTAAAATATTACACTTCATTGCAACGTTGCAAATGAACGAAATGTTGAAAACTTTTCACTGAAATGATCCATGTGGCACTGGATATGTGACCACTTTCAGGCACTGGGTGCAACCGCACAGAAGGTTCATTTGCTCCTCCCTGGATACACAAAATGAATGGGTGCGTGCTAGATGATGTACACAGTATTTTGGTTTGGACAAGCAATGCTGCTTGTTACCATTTATTCCGGCATGGATTATTAACATTTTAAGCATTAAAAGCTTGCAACACAGAAAATGTAGGGTCTTCAATGTGAGCAAAAAACCCCAATGGCTGCAAAGAGCAAAAACAGGTCCAACAATGCTCGAATTGAGGACAAGTTTCTCAGAGGGTATGATGTAATTGAACCGGAAAAAAACATTATGTTTGGGATGGGAATGGAACCAAGGTTCTCCAGGTGCACTGCACAAAGAGCCACGACGGCTTGTGAACTCTAGCCGAATGAAGGAATACCTAGACAGCATTCGCATGCTTCAGTGTTGTCCAACCTGAACACTTGTGCTGACGTCACAGCTCCTAGCAGTCTCGCGAGCTCTAGAAGCTGCATTCATGCACGTAATGGCGAGATGGCACAGAGCTTGTGTTGCAGAAATTCTGCTAGTGTTGTCGGCAATAACACTATCCCAGTCTAGTCTTGAGCATACTCCGCTTTTTTTTCTACACTAGAAAATCATTCAGCGAGTACCAAATATTTATTGAAACCACTAATCAAAATTTACAATGAGTTATTAAGAGTACATATTCATTTAGCACATGTATGAATATTGCGCTAACAATAATACCAATAGGTCTAAGCACCAGGTCGTTTCCAAATTGGCTAAGACGGGGAAAAGACCAAGAAGAATCGCACTTGTAGGCCTATTCTGAAG